CGATCCATTCAACCAGTTTTTCAAATGTGTCATACTCTCCCTGCTCATGTAACCAATACTTGTATTCTCGGACATACTCTTCTGGAAGCTTCTCTTTTACCGTAAGACCAAGATGTTGTCCCCTTAGTTCTCCATTTTCGTCACCATCTTGCAGTGCAACCAGTATTCGATCGAGGATTGCCAGTAATTCTTCCATGTCTTCCACATTATAACGCCGTACTTTTGATAGTCCTCGAAAGGTTGCCAAATGAGTACGGATCTGTCGACGTTTTCCACCATACTTTCGTTCTAATTTCTCCTTTGCCTTTTCATATGCATAACTTGAATAGCCAAGGTCTCGTACAGTCTCCAATGCTTTTCCACGCAAGCAATTCTGCAGTCTCAGCATCTTTTCTTTCACAGGCATATCTGTATCATCCACAACTGATGTAAATGCAGCATTCCAAGCTTCAAATTCAGTTTTATTCTCACCGGAGAATGTTGGCAACTCTACGCCTTTCAGTTTGACATGTGTAGAGGTCGGCGGCAATCCAAAGGGAAATGCTTGGGGTGGTGTCATGTTCTCAGGTGAATTCTGATTATTTTTTACAGGTAATACAGTAACATCTTCAGTCACTTTGCCAAACCGTTCAGTGGCTTTAGCTCGTGCTTCATTCAAAAATACTATCGAACGTGCATCCTTTATTCTTTCTTTATTGAGTTCAAAAGTCTCACATTTTTTCTGTAGTTCTTGCTCTAATGCTTGCTGATCTTTTTCAAGCTGCTTTAGCCTATCATTCGCATCTTTCACTTCTTGTTGCTGTGTCTCAACAACAGATTTTTCTACTGACTTAGGGGGGGTTACATGGGATGACTTTGCATGGGATGACTTTGCATGGGATGACTTTGTATGGGATGACTTTGTTGCCATTGAATTTACAGATATTTTACTTGACGCGATTGTGGATACTTCCGATTCATCTTCACCATTGACAAGTCGTTCCTTAATGTGGTCATTGGCATATTTTATAGTAGTGTCAACTAAGTCCATAATGTCACATAATTCTTTGTCTAAATTTTCTATTACAGTGTCTACGTCTGTTCCTTCTAACACCTCATCACTTAAAACAACAGTTTCTTTTAAAGCATAAATAATCTTTTCAATTATAGCACTCTCAGCCTTTACTTTCTTTATAGCACGTCTAATTTCGGTCTTGGTACTTGGGTGTTCAGTGGTCAACATGGCTACTTGATTTCGTGCTTTTGTCAGTCTAGCTTTTGCAGCTTTCTTCCTATTTTTAAGCTTTAACTACCGTGTACTCTTCGTACTTACTTGGCTCTTTACTTCGTCGGTGCCTTGCCTGGTTGTTTCGCCATTATTTTCCGGTAAACTCGGAGGTTTTTCGTCGTTTTGGTCAGCCATATCGTTTCAAATTCGTCGGTCACAATAACCACACAAATAAACCCGTAATTTTGCCAGATCCGGCTCGTCGAAGGACCACTTGTTCTCGTATAGAACTTGTCGAATAAAGTATGGATCTACTTTTCACTATTTTGGATTGTTCGCGTGGTTTTAAAGTCAATAAACAACCTTTTTAAACACTGTATTTTTAGAACACAAACATTATGACAAAAAACCTTGACCATGCTCTCTTTTTCTCTGCGCGACAGTTCGTTTCCAGTCCTTTTTATCTATCCTATTGGGGGGGGGGGGGTAGGACTTATTTGAATTTAAACAATGTCAACATTCCCAAACATTATATATAGTATACAGTATTTTAATATTGAATAAAATTTTGATAAACTACAACAAGACTGACTATGTGGTAATTACATCTACAGAGAAGAAAATATTTATCACTTATTTACTGAGACCAAGGGAAACAGTGTGTTTTGTGGACCCGAGACCGTCGATGTTTCCCGAGGCCAAGCCGAGGGTCCACAAAACACACTCCTTTCCCAAGGTCTCAGTAAATAAGTGTTTTATTGTATATCAATAGTCAAAGAAACAACAAATTAAAGAACAAATTAATTAAATGAACGTAAATACATGAAATATTTTATTGTTAAAACGTTATATTAAACACTGGCTACACTGCAGTTACTTAAAGCGAAAGGTTTAAATACGTGCTAGGCATGCCGAAAGGTCACATCTTCACGTGATGGCGCACGTGATTTTTTTGTTATTCGCCGATCGATAACGTATATCTCCCTCTCGCGCTGTTGCGAGGAAGATAGCCTAATTTCGTCACTCTCACGTGATATGCTCTCAACCAATAAAACACTAGAAAAATGCGACTTTGACTATTGACATATAATAATAACATTTATTTTTTTATCAGTGAAAATGAAGCAATCTGATTGGCTGAGGAGCCTTTCAGAGCGGGCCGGTTTTTTGCATCCGGCCCGCTCTGAAACGCAACTGCCCACTGTGAAATGCAACTGTCCGCTCTGGTCTTTGCGCCAAAAACCGAGGAGTGAAACAATTTTTAAACGAAAAAATCTGCCCAAAACGTTTGAAAAATATAGCCTAACGATAGTCAGAATACGAAAATGAATTGCATTAAGCCCTAAAGACTTCATACTAAGCACGATGTTCACCAGAATTGACAATATTTTGATAGAGTTGCGACTGAAAATTGGAAAGTAATTTGACATGTATAAAAAGTAAACTTACGTCGAGAAAATTATATGTTTTTTAAATGCTCATGTATTCGGCCACTTTAAAGCGAAAAAAATTACAGCTTAAACAGATATTGTAAAATAAATGTTTTCCCATTTAACCATTCCAGTGAAAACAAGTCAAGAATATATTCTCTACCATTTGTGTCATGCATGCTTCAGAAACTCAACAGTTTTCCAAGGTGACTGTTTTAAATGATAAATCGCCTGTAAGGACGACTGTCTCTGAATAAAAGAGAGGGTAGGGAAATGGATCTCGCCTAAACGAGATCAATATTTTTGAACAGGGTCCAAGATATTTAATTTAATTTAAAGGTTTTAGTTTCATTTTTAATATTCTAGGAATAATACCAGATTCAAGTTATTCGCAGCCATTGCTGTCGTTATGATAACACGTGGTTTCGAAGTTTTGCTGAACTCACAGTACACGATTGAAATGAACAAAGCTTTGGAAGGAAAAGCGCTGACTGGTTCCGCATTCCGTAATTTAACTATGAAAACTGTGATGGATTGTTTTCTGGCTTGTTTTGAAGACTGTCTATGTATCTCGTTTCAAATGTGTAATGAAACAGAATGTCAATTATTGTCATCCAGTCAATTTCAATCAACATTGGATACTATCATAGGATGCACTTATTATGACATGGTTCCACCTTCCAAACAAGTACGTAATAGGCAATTCCAGCTTTTAGTTTATGCGTGCAGGGGACGATGGGAAGTAAGGTATCACATTGCTGATTATGCTGAAAAAATAAAAATGGTGGCCGTGTAAACACGGAGTGATAGCTTATACTTGTAAATATTGAAATATTTCGGTTGTTTCGGTAGTTTTTATTAAGATTTTTCAGCATAATCAGCACTATGATACCTTACTTCCCATCATTCCCTGCAGGCATAAACTAAAAGCTGGAATTGCCTATTGATATTACAATATGATAGTTCAGTTTGGTTTTTTTTTAATTTAATCTTCTTGATTTTTGTACTTTTTTTGTTAATTAGTCTGTTCTTCTTTTTTTCTCTATTTCTTTAAATCACATATGGCATTGTTAGTCGTATTGTTTTCCTTTTGGCATTTTTTTGTACTTCTTTATTCCATTGTTCCTTGTGCGATTCTGTACTTCTTCCTGCATGTGTTGTTCTGTATTTTCTTTGTTTTGCATACTATTGAGTGAGGTCATTTTAGACCGTATTTCCTCTATTCAGCCACCTAGACTGATCATGTCAAAGTGTAGAGGGAATGTCCGAATCTATTTCGCTGATCTGTGCAGTGAATGGTTCCACTAATTGTTTCTTTCGTTCTTCAGTTATATGTTCGTGGACTATAGTGCACATCCATTGTAAAATGACATGTTCCATTATAAAATGCTTGCCAATTGTTCGAAGACCGAAGTGAGTGAAATTTGGATAAATTCCATGGGTATTTAATTTTTTCCCATAGCAACGCGCTTGGCAACTTCTTTCTTTCCGCTTTCCGGACAAATAAAATCAGTTTATTTGGAAGTATTTCTGTACAATTTCGAAATAACCGCTGGAAGTCCAGTTCGCTATCTCGAATAACTTGACATGTTTATTTCAAAGTTTTCAAAGATATATTTTATATTGTATTCTGCTCTTTTATTGTGATATTAATTATAACGAAATGAATAGAATTTATAAAAGAAAGCGCAAATATAAGTTATCACGGAAACCAGTTTAGTGAGAAAAAAAGAATTGAGTCCTGTGCAACGCGAAAATTCCGGCTGTAATGTTGGAGTAGCCGAGGGACAGTCAGCATTCACAGTTCGTGTGAGGAGAATTGTGGCCGGTCATCTACACCTGGCTACAGGATGTTTAGCATGGAGATATTGGCTAATGTTTTACAACATGTAGCTCTTAGTTGGTGTGGTGAGCAACTTGTCTCTATCACCGAGAACGTATCTGACAGAAAAGGTTGCTCCTCACTACTACATCTACGTTGCTCATCATGTGGGTGGCAACATTCTTTCTATACACTTCGAAAAAAATTAAAAATTATCATGAAGTAAACAGGAGAATTGTTTATAGAATGAATGCTATTATATTAGGAAAGGAGCAGAGTCTGCAAAGAAATTTTGTGGCTTAATGGACATACCTCCACCACCCAAGCCTAAAGCCTAGCAACAAAGCAAACGGCATACAAATGAGTACAAAACAGGTTCTGGTCTCCCGTGACCGATCATCAGGGAGGTCAAATCAATCTTTGCCAGGTTAAATAACGATAGTTTGCTTGATAAATGTTTATATGGGAAGACTCAAAACCAGAATGAGTCTCTAAAATGCAGTCATTCGGTATAATCTTCCAAAAAGTGTGTTTGTTGGAATTAGTGACACACTGCATCTTGCAATTGATGTATATAATGTTGTGGCGAATTTCAATATTGGCCGCTAAGTATCATTAAATATTTTAAAAAGAGCAGGAATGAAGCCAGGGAAGTTATGTACAAAAGAGATCGGGAACCGATTGAATCAAGCCCATTTAATTAACTAAAACGGTGGATAAGTCAAAATTAAATAACACTCTCATATCTCTCGTTAATCAGTCAATTTAAATATTGTGCACTGAATATGTGGTTGTGAACATTATCGTTCTATTAAGGTTTAAAACTTTTAGTTTGGTTGTTGAATCTTATATAGACTTGTTAACTACCATTTGGACCGGCTGTATATCAATCACGTTTAGCTTTAGATGTAGCCTAGAGGTTTTGTTAGAGTGAAGAAAGCCAACTACAAAGTAAAGGACAAGATTAAAGTACGCAGGTTAAAGTACATTGCCGCCATTAATATACATTGCCGCCATTTTGAATTTATTTAATTTGCGCTCTGCGCGCATGCTTTTCCGCCATACTGTCATATTTTGTTGCAATAAAGGCATTTACGCATGCTCTGGAGGGAAAAATTCATCCCGCCTCGAAATTTTTCGTCCCGGCTAGCAGGGATAAAGTGTTTATATGGGAATTTTTCATCTCGCTTAAGCGGGATTCCGGCATCTGTTGCCGAGATCCCGTCTAGACGGGATAAATGGCGGGATATATAAACACTCTTTAGAATTTGTATTATGAGCGGGATCTCGGTAAGCATCCCGTCCCGCCCGGCCGGGATCATATAAACAGGCCCTTAATGTCAGGGGCCCATGATGGCAGGGGCCCACCACAAAACAAGCGTCGGTTCGTCTCTAGCCAGAACGTCTTGCTGGCAGTAACCTGTCCAGATTTTTAGCTTGCCCAGATTTTTTTCTTGGCTGTGTGTGTTCTAATCTTATTATCAATGTTGATTGAATGATTCATCTGAGTTAGTTGCAATAAGTCAGGGTTATCGATTTGTCTTAGTTCGTCAGTTATCAATAAAATAAAACGCGAATTTTTTTGCCAATATGACCGGACATATAATCATTCACTGGATGACATTCGCAATATCTTAAATTACTTGCTTTACCAAATAATTATCGGATTTGCTCTTTCTTTTATGATTTTCTCCACGTTCGTGCACGTGTATATATTTTTACTAGCTGGAGACAAAAGTTGTCCGAAAATATCTGCAAATTTGCTTACGTTGATCCCATTACTTATCGCAGAAAAGGCGGATTGTTATAATCCGTGCAAAACAATAGTAAACTAGAAATACATGCAAGCAGAAACCCCTTTGACTTGCTTGCAAAACCATTAGCTATGTTTTCAGGAACATGAAGTATTTAAAGTAGCTGTCATGGTAACACGATACTTTTATTAAGGTGGCTTGCTACACTTACTAAAAATTAAAGATTTTCTAATTTGGATATGAATTTCTGGACACTTATTACTTGTTTAAATTAATAACAAAGAGTATCTGATTGGTGTTGCTCAAAAACTACTCCTAACTGCCGTTGCTATGGCAACAATGACGTCAGAACATGGCGGATATTATATGTTTAAAGTAATTTAACTCTAAACCAAGGTCGGTTACCCTTATTATGCGCAAAATTAATGAAATTATAAAAGCAAACAATACATTAATATTTAAAACAAAACTTACCTTCATTGGGTTTTATAATTTCCAACAATCTATTGCCCCATTGTTATAAACAAATGAATTATTTGGTTGAACGTCTCATTAACGATATAACGATATTTCGGGTTTCTGAATAAAGTTTTTCAGTCTCTTGTAGCAAGTGTCACCGTCGGTGTCCATGCTCACTTCTTTTAGTAAGTCTTTCGGCTTTTCCCCGTCTTCTTGTTAGTTTTCGGCTGGTTCCTTCTTTAATATTTTATTTGTTCAATTAATATTTTTTAATTTTCTCAAAAGAAACCGTATAAAGGACTCAACAGATTTTTCAAAATCTTTTAAAAAGCAGAATATTCATTTTCAAATAGTGTCTGTTATTATGCTGTTGTGATGCAGTCATCATAAAGCGTAATTTAAATTTGACGAATCAGTGTTCACCATTTCCATGACATCCACCATACTTTTGAGATCAGTGGAAGGTCCACCCTTGGATCATAGCCAGACACCTGTGGTATTTGATAAACTTCAAATCTCAAACGGGTGTAGATAGCCGAGTGGAATTAGTACCCTCGCCCCGGGCTTACGCACGGACCGCGCTCGGCGCCGATCTACGAGTATAAGAACGGCCAATGAAATACTGTATCAAATGATACAGTATTTCATTGGCCGTTTTATACTCGTAATTTGGTATTGCAAAATGCTTATTCAATCTAAAACATTACGTATTCAGCACTGCTCGAGAATGTTGTTGTAACCGTCAAAATTTAAGGTGGGCACTTGAAATACCTATTCCAGCTTTTTCGCTATTTTAAATAAAACAGCGTAACTTCTTGGGGAGACACCCGGTATATAGGCTATACCACTATCTTTTTAAATCAAGTGCATTAAGGTTCAATTATCTTTGATTCTTCTCTTTCCAAGGTTGGTCATACTACTTCATGCAGTCCTGGTTGTCTTGTCAATCCATGTCAAAATGGCGGAAGTCACGAGTCATTGTTCCCCACAGATTACACAAAACGTCGCTTTAAATGCAACTGTCCAATGGGTTATGCAGGAAATCTCTGTCAAGATGTGGTTAAATCTTGTCGTGGTTACATCAATGGTAAGCGAGTTCCAGGATTATACATGGTCTTTGATGATAACATGAATCCCTTTGATATTTTCTGTGATTTTGATTTGAATTCAACGATGACATGGACACTGGTTCAGTCATATGAACTCCGAAAGAAAGATTTATTTACCCAGAAGGCTTTTAATTTGAATTTTTCTGTTGATGAAAACACCCCTCGTTGGGATGCATATCGTCTTTCAAAGCCCAGAATGCAATCGATCCAGAAAGATTCCAGTAAATTTCGTATGACATGCAACTATGATACTGACGGCGTTGTCTTTCGTGATTACCTTCAAGCAGCCAATGATCAAATGGATATAATAACATTCGTCAAAGGTGACGTGTGCATTTTGGTGGAATGGATTAATATCCGAGGACAAGAGTGCAAAAACTGCACTGCATTGCTGCATCAGGGTGCCAAGTATAAATTCTTTTTGCATAGTGATTCTTTTCACGCTGGTAAACGTGGTTGTGAATTTGTGCCAAACAAGGGTCTTCCCTGTTCCAGAGGAGGAGGAGAAGATAATTTTGGCCTCTATCAGTGCGTCAATCCAGCTCACAGATGTTCTTCGTCTCAGTCAGCCACGACACAGACTTGGTTTGGTGGTAATTGATTGACATGAAGATTTAATACAACACATAAACTTTGCATGTTAATTAGGCTTATTGCATAACTTCATTAATTTATCATACCAATACATATACATATTCGCACCAGAACAGTTTTCGCCGTCACGCTAGATATTCGTGCACATGAGAAAAGGGGTAGTGGAGCTCTCAGTGTATTCTTAATGACGTTTTGATATACCTATATGCAGGGCCTTTTTTAAGGATTTTCCCGTGGGGGGCCATTTTTTGAAAAGGTACCTTTCTGTGAGATAATATATTAGAGGGGGATAGCAATGGCTGAAGGCCACGTGTGTGGCCAATATACCACGCATGATTGGGGAGGGGGTCTGGGGGTGTACTCCCCCAGAAAATGTTTGAAATTTGAATCTCGGAAATGTCATTTCCTGCATTCTGAGCATCCAAATTTGCTCCAAAATTTATGCTAATTATACTTGTATTTGAAATAAATAAAGGAAAAAATGCACAAAAAGTAAAAAAAAAATAACCATCATTTATCATTACTTATTAGAGGAGGACAGCAATGGTCACGTGTGTAGATGTGTACTCCTCGGCCAGAGAATTTTTGAAATTGGAAGCACGGAAATGCCAATTCCTGCATTCTGAGCATCCAAATTTACTCTAAAATTTATGCTAACTATACTTGTATTTGAAATAAAAGAAGGAAAAGCACAAGAAGTAAAAAAGAATATTAACCGTATTTTATCATTACTTATTAGAGGGATAATCCCCCGAAAATTTTTGAAACTTGAAACCCGGAAATGGTATTTCCTGCATTTTAGCATCCAAACAATAAAAAATTATTAACAATAATTTATCATTACTTAGTGGTAGAAAAACGTAACAATCCCCACTCACCCTAAAAGTCGTGCGCCATACCACTGCATGAGCGATTTTGTTAAACAAGGACAAAGGATAAAGCCAAAAATTTACTTTCCATTTATCTATTTGTTAATCTTCGCTGGTTTGTTTGTATAATTTTAGGAATAAAGGACTTTTCCTGGGGGGGGAGGGCAAATTGTGATTTCGTGGGGGGGCACAAGGGGGGACTGGGGGGCATTTGCCCCCCAGATTGTATGTTAAAAAAGGCCCTGCCTATATGACAATGATATACCTATTGAGGATTTGATTGAGACTATGGAACAGATGTATTACCGAACTGTCATCGATCACTGACATAACTTCGTGCTAAAGGGTCCCCGACTTTACCTGAAGAGGTCCTGTTTATCCTGCCCATTCAAACTAACGTCTAACAAGTTGTTGAAATACGTCAACTTTGTCATTCGTGCCCTGGGTTTGAGCCGGACTGTGCCCAAAGGAGTTACGTCATTGACTGTAAGTCGGAGTAAGACTGTTATATAGTTAGTGATTCATTCCATGGTTGCATGATCGGAGATTTAATTCTTTCTCGATGTGCATACCGGCCTATATATATTTCTTGTATTTTTCAAATCTATGCTTAATTTAGTTTTTATTTATCTGCACGTATAACATATATTCGTTCACTGTCGCAGTTTTGAGCATGATAATTTTTAATGGTATGATTAAAATGTAAATTATTCTCTAGGTATTAGCTTAGTTTCTCTATTATTGTTTCTACAGCAGTTTGCGATATAATCTGACTAATTTGAGAAGTAATCCAAACTAAAATAAACGTCCGCAACAGACAGTACTTCCTCGCCTTCGTTTCAATCGTCGACGTGTTGTACAGCACTTCAGTCGATCATCGTGTAATTAAATTGCAACCACTATAGCCCCGTTTACACTACGCTCAATTTTTGGTACGGCTCGGATCTTTGACCATATCAGCGTGTAATTTTGCGCTATAGAAATGTTGGTCCTAATCGTAATATTACACTACGCTCAATTTTTGGTACAGCACGGATAAAATTGGTACCCGTACCACTTTTTTGGTTCTTGGACTACCTATTTAGCTAAGCGCCGTTTACACTACGCTCAATTTTTGGTACCGTACCACTTTTTGTTTCTTGGACTACCTTAAATAGGTAGTCCAAGAACCAAAAAAGTGGCATACGGGTACCAATTTTATCCGTGCCGTACCAAAAATTGAGCGTAGTGTAAACGGGGCTTATATTACGATTAGGACCAACATTTCTATAGCGCAAAATTACACGCTGATATGGTCAAATGCGCTTTAGATCAAGTATTACGCTTACCTAATTACTTAGCCTAGACTATTTTATCTATATATCCAGTATCTTTGATTGTTTGTGAGTAAAATAATAAGAACATTTTCATGGTAAGACGCATTAGTTGAACGGGCCACGGTTCACCGAACGAAAATGTTCTTGGTATGTTTGATCGAATAGGAACATTACCTTTTTTGCAGAACATCGTATTAAATTGTGGTCATTTAATTGGTTGATTATGATTACGTGCTATTCAATAAAATTCCCATTTTATTCATAATGGCAATTGCACTGAGTTTACAGCTGAACCGGAAACCGTATTTAGATAACGTACGTCATGTGACTAAGTCATATGACAAATTTTGAACAATTTTCAACAGTTTTGAACACGCGACAAACTACAACGTTCGGTTGGATCGTGTTTTAACGTTATATTTCAAGCTATTTTACACTCGAAAGTTCAATCTTCATCGTCCGATTCGATTACAAAAGCTCGTCGTTTCTTTCGTGGTGGTGGAGAGTCTTGAGGCTTACCGAAATAATTGTTTATAGTACAACCGGAAAAGTTTGTATTCTGTTCGTGCAACTAGCCCATGGATTGAATGCTGTCGTCTGGTGTGGAACAGCTGGGGCATAAGTTGGTGGGAAGAAAGGAAATCCGTAAGGCTGAAAATTCGGGTTAAGCTGAAGAGTTTGTTGTTGGAAATTCGACGTAACTACGGTGGAGCTGGATGCAGGATATTTGTTGATGGACGAGGCGGGTGGCGATGCACGTTGTAACTGACGTTCAGGATTTTGTTTGGAGGCATCGTGATACCCACTTGTAATGTGAGACAGATCTCTTCTCTGATTTTCACTGATTTCATCATAGTCATCGAGAGATGATTCGCGTGAATGGCCAGTAATTTCACAAATGACATTGCGAGCTTGTTCAGCACTATTGAGTTTTGAAACCAACGTCTTCCTCATGCTGTGGTTGGTCAGTTTCTTGCTCGTATTCAGGGCAAGAAACAGACAGCCATTGATTTAACGATATTCCCGATGGTGTTTTCGCCCATTCGTACCCTTGCATACCACACGTCGGCCGATTTGGGACGATTTATTATTGTTAAATACAAGGGGCCGTTGTCTTTCAGGCGCCGTCCTGTCTTTTGGAACGCCATAGCTTGAAAAGGCGCACCGGATCTCTCTCACCGCCGTCGGTACTAAACATCAATTGTGGTGTTAATCTTCGCTTTATTCTTAGACCACCGGTTCTCGTCTTTGTGGGATTTTCGCGATATTCTACGACTACGAGTTCGCCTCTGTCTTCTTGTCGTCGTATCAAGAAGTCCTCGACATAGGAGTCATAATGTTCTTGTCGTCCTCGTAATCCAAGTTGTTCAGTTAAGTTTTTAAAGTTGACATTTGTTAACACTCGCCCATTGTGTTCTCCCAGTTGCCCTTTATTCCATAGAGAAGACTGTTCTTCTGGGGCCCGTGGTTGAGCTTTATTGGGTCGTTTTCCCATTCCTTCTCGACGGAGATTTATCGCCTTCGCGTTCAATACTTCTTGCGAGTTCCGAAACTCTCTGTCTCGCACGATACTCGTTTTGTAGCCATTTTCCTTGAGATAACGCTCAATGGCACTCTGCATTATTCTCAGGGAATCTGGTTCATAATCCGTTCCGTCTCTTTTCTTAACTTCTGCATAAAACTTGCTTAGAAGTTTGTCAAGTTTCTCCGGGGCTATTGTAGCGATGTTGACATTTTGGATGTGATGTGACATACACCAACTATTCAAGACTGTTTTGTCGAGCGAGTGGTGTTTATATTTACAGCTGAAGATTTAAGTTCTTCTATTTCTTTGGTGCGTACTTGTGGGAATCTGTACACGTCTATTTCATCAGTTGTTTTCAACATTCGTAGTTTGTTGCTCATCAATTTCACGGGTTTCAAGGTGCTCAAGTGGACTATTTATATCGTTGTTTTGTGGAGAATTGTCACAAAAGACGGATATTGCTCTGACAGCTGCCAATCAAGTTCCTCAATGTCCAAATCGTCTTCAAAAAATTGTGAGTAATCAAATTCATCCATTTTTGTAAAAAATTTATATATTTGGGGAAAATTTGTGTTTTAAAACTCAAATTTTGTGTTATTATTACTAAAAGCTGATTGGTTGTTTTAGTTCAGTTCTTGAATCTGATTGGTTACATTAAAAAGTGTGCGATTCGTGCTGAAATCGCACTCCTAGGAGTGCGATTCGTGCTGAAATCGCACTCCTGTGAACCAATCAGATTGCAGAAAACACCATTGATTTCAAAATGAATATAATAAAGAGTGCAATGGAACGGTTTTAACTTGTATTATTGCTCTCCCACCGTGCACTTTTGTACTACCGGAATATCTTTTGTTCATTTTTGTTCTGTTAACAACTGATTTGGTTTTCATTAAATTCCGTGCGTCAAAATTTTAATTCTACCTTTAAAATTATAAAATCTGTCCCTGTTCGATATGGTGGTTCTATCCCTAACGTCCTCCACTAATTTTTCGAGTTACAAAGTATTTAGTTTATAATTTAGATCAAGCGTATACTGAATTAGGTTGACACACATATCTTCCCTACGAGATTTCAAGGTATCAAGATTACATTTTAACAAAGATTCTCGATTCTCGGTTGTTTCAAAGTAGATTATGCCGATATATTATTTACTGAACGTTCTCTGACTAAGTATTTATTTCTTCGAGCTCTCTGCTATCAGTCTATAGCCTTCAACGGGTGTATACAAATGATTCTATAAAGGACGCTAAACTTAAGTAGGTGGTATGAAATATGAGACTATCTATGCTATGTTACAAATGGGGAATATGAATATTTAATTAATGTTTCTTGAGTTCCTTTCTTAAAAGTATTGTGTATTGTACTGGAAGCGTATTAGAGTTATTATCAGCTTCGTCTGTAAGTGCAGTGTGCCAGGACTCTAAGGTTTTAAGGTTCCTATGATTTCCCTTGTCTATTACTTTGACATTGGCAAAGTCAATGACATGATCTTGAGTCCATGCGTGTTTCACGACATTCGACCCCTTCTTGCTTTGTTTCACATTCCTTACGTGTTCGGACTTTCTCGTTTTCAGGGATCTTCCTTTCGCACTTTCGCCTATGTAGCTCCAACTGCAATCTTGACACGGTATCTGGTTGACCACGTTCTTTTGTTCTTCTATTGATGGTTTCTGTTTTGCAGATGGGAATTGGCGTTCGAGGATTTTCATTGGCTTATTATAAACTTTAATGTCATGTTTTTGGAGTGTTCTGGCTAGAGGTTCGGTTAGTTGGTAGCTATATGGTAGAACCGCAATTCGTGCAGATGGTGCCTTTCCTTCAAACAGTTCGAAAAATGACCGCACTAACCGAACCTCTAGCCAGAACACTCCAAAAACATGACATTAAAGTTTATAATAAGCCAATGAAAACCCTCGAACGCCAATTCCCATCTGCAAAACAGAAACCACCAATAGAAGAACAAAAGAACGTGGTCTACCAGATACCGTGTCAAGATTGCAGTTGGAGCTACATATATAGGCGAAACAGGAAGATCCCTGAAGACGAGAAAGTCCGAACACGTAAGGAATGTGAAACAAAGCAAGAAGGGGTCGAATGTCGCGAAACACGCATGGACTCAAGATCATGTAATTGACTTTGCCAATGCCAAAGTAATAGACAAGGGAAATCACAGGAACCTTAAAACCTTAGAGTCCTGGCACACTGCACTAACAGACAAAGCTGATAATAACTGTAATACGCTTCCAGCACAATACACAATACTTTTAAGAAAGGAACTCAAGAAACATTAATTAAATATTAATATTTCCCATTTGTAACATAGCATAGATAGTCTCATATTTCATACCACCTACTTAAGTTTAGCGTCCTTTATAGAATCATTTGTATACACCCGTGGAAGGCTATAGACTGATAGTCGAAAGCTCGTAGAAATAAATATTTAGTCAGAGAACGTTCAATAAATAATGTTTCAACCTGGCTACGCATCCTCTATTTTTTTCAATTATGCGGATATAGTTCATTCGCCATGACATGTGTGTGAAACGAACTTCAACAATTATCCCTATTTGTACATGGACGTATATATATATATATATATATATATATATATATATATATATATATATATATATATATATATATATATATATATATAATATGCCTGGCCACGGCATATTTTTCAAGCTTGCCCGGTGTGGATATACACTCATATTTACCTGAGTACACAGTACCAATACAAAAAAATCATCTGTTCAACCCTCCTTTTAGCAAAAATGTACGTTCAAACATTGCCCGGGACTTTCTACGATTAACTGATGCAAATCCCCTTCACAAGATTTTTAACCGTAACTTCATCAAAGTCAGCTAAAACGGCATGGAAAATGACAAAAGTTCCATTTCCAGAGACAACAAGCACGTCCTGGCGAAAGCAGAGCCAAACGAAAACTCAATCAAATTGTGTGATTGCCGAATCCCGAGTAAATGCCTGTACTCCAGAAAAATGTTTAACAAAGTGTATAGCACAGTATAGTACAGTAGAGTATAGTAACAAAGAGTATACTACTATAATTGCCTAATTTTGTGTCACAAAGAGTGGCACCATCCCATAATATATATGTTGTCAGAACAGGCTGCCATGGTCTGTTTTGGGACATGAAATTAGACAACACAGGAAAACCCTGCATTTAAGAACCTAGATTTTTTCCAAGTTAGCCTAAACAGGTTCTTATGTAAATGGTGCTTATCTGACTGTTCATATTACAAACTGTAATTATATTTTAAAAAATCATTAATAATTCACTAGGAAAATACAAAAGAAATGAATGTTAGTAGTAATATCATAGATTAGGGAATGAATAGATGGCTCACTCCTTTGATGTTTTTGACGCTGCCGGCACCCACGCATGTTCTTGCCAGAGTAATGGCGGCCTAGCAAGTAACTGTAGTAAAATGCATTGTGAAATTGACATCGGTGCTACTAAATCCTGTATTTTTATAATTCTGATATATTTTTTCATTAAAGCCCCCGAAAGCGGAAAAATACAGGATTTAGTAGCACCGATGTCAATTTCACAATACATTTTATTATAGTTCTTGCTATAATATGGTGCCGGTCAAAAACATCAACGGAGTGAGCCATCTATTCATTTCCTAATCTATGGTAATATAGATACCGTTCGACCCCCGTTTCTGGCGCGGAGGAAGGGTGGAGGAGGGGCGGAAGAAGGGCGGAGGAGGAGTGAGGCGGAATAATGACGTCACGCGTGCATGTTTAGGCAAGTAATGACGTCACGCGGGCATGTTCGGACAAATTGTTGAGTAGGCATTTTTGTAGCGTCCCTTCACGTGTGTGATACAATAGAGGGATTAAGATTGGCTTACTATGATTGGTTGTTTGATTTAACGGGCGTCTGTATAAAATCGACAAGAGGTTTCTGATAGTTTGCATGTATAAAAGTATGACATAGAAGTTAGATTTTAAAATCTACCGTTAGCTCAGTTGGTAGAGCAAAGGACTGTAGTTATTACAAAATCAGTATTCCTTAGGTCACAACCATGTAGCACGTTGTGAGACCCAATCCCTCTCTTATTTTCAAAACGCAATCGAAATTCGTTTTAATTCTTTTAATGAATTTGATGGCTCTTAAAGGAGCCGTTTTGAACAATAAGTTTCCAACAAGAAATAAAAAAGGCAGTTGCTAAATTAACATGATTGTCAACGTCGTTGTTATGGTCAATATTTGCATGTTGTTCAACATTATTTAGCAAACCTCCTGCATACATATATACTGTTAAGATGACCGAGTCAGATCATAAGAAAGCTTATCAAGAATACATGAAGTAAAAAAAAACTTTTAGAACAGTTGTAATATATTGTGGCGTTCATAGGTGTATACTGTATTGATGTAAAACCTATATCATAGTAATATGATTAAGCGGTAGAGACTTTACTGTTTCCTGACTATCTATAGCTGTTGATAGGTAAATGACGTAGTTCCTTCTTTGGGAGAGTCTCCCACGCAGTGTTGTATGATATATAAGATTGTGTTTTAGGTTAATAAAGGGTTCTACACTCTGGCCTTGATTGCGAGCGCTTGTTGTGTACCAACGCGGCACGTTGCAATATTTTGCCTTATTTCATAATTGAGTCGGTATTCTTTGAAGATCCGCGGGCTGTATTTCACATAAATATCGGTCATTAGGCCAACCATCTAAAAGCACAGGGAGGGTTTTGATATTCAGCAGGGAAGAGCGGGGCTGATGAATTGAATTGAATAGATAATTATGAATAAGTGGGCTGTATTCAGATACAGCCCGGAAATGTTGGACTGTATCTGAATACAGCCCGCTGTTCTAGTATTGTACCTGGATACAGGCCATGAATTGATAATCCATTGAACTTTAATTACACTACAAACCACAAACGTATTGAAAATATATTTCAAACTTCAAGTTGTTAAATACAACACTCATTTCCACTACAATATATCCATTTACTTCTTCTGTCAACATTTTAAATTCCTTGTTAATAAAAAAAGTGCAATTATTGAAATTCACACACTTTTCAACATTCTCACTCTTTACTGCGCTATCACCTTCGCTCTTGTTAACTTCGCTTCCTAATTCCTCCTCAGCTTTTTCACGGACTTCCCGACACTCGCTATTAGTTGTACTGGTTGTCGCCAAAGACGTGTGCATCATACCAACTTGATCAAACGCTTTTGACATTTCTACTTTGTACTCTATGAGTAGATAACCCCCCCCCCCCATATAGGGGCCAAAGGGTGCCGACAGTGTCGTAACAATAGGAAGGATTATGTAACAATAGAAAAGTAATTAACATCAATTAGCGATCACGCTACCATGAATCTTAATTAGTGATATCGATTGTTTATTAGAAGAACAATATGATACCCTTATCGTTTAAATGCTGATATCGGTTTCATTAAACCGATTTCAATAAAGCATCAATTAGCGTCTGGTGGTCATTAAAATCTAACACAAAATGATGTCTTATCAAAGAAACAGAATACCGTTATCATTGAAGTAATAACACGGTGATTTTATTAAAATAACAATACGATGATACTGTTATCATTTAAATAACGACATGCTGATATTGATAGCAAAATTATTATAAATAGACAAGATCGAACAATTTCATTTTCGGGCGACAACTTTTGCTGAGAAAAGATTATTTTTTACGAAATACTTTGAACATGAGTTTTTTCCAATCGAAAGAGCGTGCGGCATTTTGTTTACTAATGGACGAAGTTGCATCTTATGAAGTGAAAAATTTATGTGGTCTGATGGATGCTATATTTTCTGAAGCTGTTTCCGATGAAATAGCGAAAATACGTATGGAAAAGTGTTGTGACTGTAAAGTGGATAACCCGAGTCAGAGAAGACATGAATGTCTCATGTTAACACTTGAAGAAAGTTGGACAACGTACGGTTTGGATGCCATAGAGCAAGTAATCGAACGGGGAATACTCTGGAAGCTGTTTAACGACGCTATTCGTGTGCAGAAATTGGATTATTACGAAGTTGTAAGAGAACATTATGAGACCTTGACTAAAAATTATGAAACAACTCTTGAATTCCTAAAGGATTTGAGGTATAACTCAGAATTTTTCGATTACCAAGCTATTTTGGGTTATCTATATTACTGGAGCGGAAACCAGTGTACTTAAAACAATATGCATGGAGGTTTAGAACAGTATGTATAAAACACTTTTACATGTAATATTTTTGTTTTGAACAAATTATTATTAAACGTAATGTTCAAAAGAAGGATAACGCAAATTATTTTAGAGCAAAATATGCTTGGATGCATACATAAATTAACAAACAGATCAATGAGTGCAAACAAAATACTCAAGAGAGGTTCATTTTTTTATGTAAATGCCCTTGCAATAAATCGCTGGTAGTTCACAACGTGCAATGTAAATAAATATACCAAGCGAATTAAGCATGCACATGCACGCGTTACTATGCGTTGTTATGTACATGTACATCATAATAGGGATATTGAAGGATAATACCGGGCTATTATAAGCGTGGGCACAGAGCGCGAGCATAAAATAGGCAAAAGCACATGATTTCATTTTCAGAGCACATTTATTTCTTTAATTAAGTACTACAGAGTTAATAATTCTTGTCTGTATAAATATATTATCCATGAACGTAAGAGTTTTATTCCGTTTTTGTTTCTAACTTTAACCGCTTCTTTGAGCTATCATCCATTTCTGTATTGTCCACAATTTTCTCTTGTCAATAGCGGCCTCTAACGCTTCCCTGTGGTCGAAATTATCATCGTTGACAAAGACATCCCTGGTTTCCATAATCTTTTTGTGTAATGGATCCCTCTTTAGTTGTCTTATCCATAGTAGACGTTCCAGATAAATATTCTGCAAGTTTTTACGGAGTTTTGGTAGGATAAGTAAGTATTCCTTGTCTTTAGCTTCGTTTTCGTCAAAACCTTCTGCAGTGAAATTCTGCGTTAGTCCTTCAAATTCCGATAAACTTTGTTGGGCTGCTTCAGCTTTTAAAGGAGCCCATGGATCGCTTTCGTATTCATCACCTACTTTACTACTAGTATCATAATCACTTTCTGACGCAGAATCAGTTTCCACTTCGCTGTCAGTGTTATACGAATTCTCAACATCACTCTCTGATGTAGCACTATCAGAGTCTGCGGTCGTTCTCATTCTTTTCATCTTTACACTGAAATCTGTAGTAAGTTTCCAAAAATACTGTATTTCCTTCGTATATTGTTAGGTTGAAACAACTCCAGCCACAACCAACTGGCGAATGATCAATATTTTGAACAACATTACATTTTATGAAGTGTCCCCAAGGGCTTTTTCTACGGCCTTGTGGCCCGATTGGCAGGGATACTTCCAACCAAGCCTCCCCATCAAGAGGATTCTAGAGAATCGGGCCACAAGGCGATAGAAAAGCCCTTGGGCAAATGCGAATAGTGGCCCATCCCAACCAATCATCAATTGGGACACAAGGCCGTAGAAAAGGCCCTTGGGGACACTTTTCGAATTGGCCCGAAGGGCCTTTTCTATAGCCTCGTGACCCGATTCTCTAGAACTCTCTTGATGGGGAGGCTTGGTGGGAAATATCCCTGCTGCCAATCGGGCCACAAGGCCATAGAAAAGGCCCTTGGGGACACTTCATAAAATGTAATGCTGTTCAAAATATTGATCATTCGCCAGTTGGTTGTGGCTGGAGTTGTTTCAACCTAACAATATACGAAGGAAATACAGTACTTTTGGAAACTTACTACAGATTTCAGTGTAAAAATGAAAAGAATGAGAACGACCGCAGACTCTGATAGTGCTACATCAGAGAGTGATGTTGAGAATTTGTATAACACTGACAGCGAAGTGGAAACTGATTCTGCGTCAGAAAGTGATTCTGATACTAGTAGTAAAGTAGGTGATGAATACGAAAGCGATCCATGGGCTCCTTTAAAAGCTGAAGCAGCCCAACAAAGTTTATCGGAATTTGAAGGACTAACGCAGAATTTCACTACAGAAGGTCTTGACGAAAACGAAGCTAAAGACAAGGCATACTTACTTATCCTACCAAAACTCCGTAAAGACTTGCAGAATATTTATCTGGAACGTCTACTATGGATAAGATAACTAAAGAGGGATCCATTACACCAAAAATTGTGGAAACCAGGGATGTCTTTGTCAACGATGATAATTTCGACCACAGGGAAGCGTTAGAGGCCGCTATTGACAAGAGAAAATTTCTTTTCAAAATACTTTTCAGAAACACATGGTCCCCTAGTGACATTGATCCTTAATGGTTGTTTGTGTTTGGTTTATAAAAATAAAATAAAATGCGATCCTGTGTGGTAGCTATTTTTCCCTAACCCATTTCTCGAACCCTCTCCCAAGTCCCGGCAAACCTTCAAAAAGGCCTTTGGGGCCACAACTATTTAATGTTAGGAAATCAGTGGACATTTATCATATGACATTATGCCTCGGAAGTGTAAAGATTGTCCCATCTGCGGCAAGCGAGCTTTAAAAAGATTGGCAAACCATTTGGCAGACGTCCATGAACTTTCTTCCGAAGAAAGACAACCTTATCTTATTCGTGCTAAGCCAACAGCTGTAGACTTAGAAAATGTTTTAGCAGAGTTGTACAGATTAATTGGGAACAGTAAAAAGCAGTGAAAGTGGAATAAAAGCGGAATAAAGAATATACCCATCTGTCAACCAAAATCCTCCAGGAAGAGAACAAAATCAAATACAAAGCCTGAAAAGAACGTGGACAATACAGAAATGGATGATAGCTCAAAGAAGCGGTTAAAGTTAGAAACAAAAACGGAATAAAACTCTTACGTTCATGGATAATATATTTATACAGACAAGAATTGTTAACTCTGTAGTACTTAATTAAAGAAATAAATGTGGTCTGAAAATGAAATCATGTGCTTTTGCCTATTTTATGCCCGCGCTCTGTGGCCACGCTTATAATAGCCCGGTATTATCCTTCAATATCCCTATTATGATGTACATGTACATAACAACGCATAGTAACGCGTGCATGTGCATGCTTACTTCGCTTGGTATATTTATTAACATTGCACGTTGTGAACTACCAACAATTTATTGCAAGGGCATTTACATAAAAAAAATGAACCTCTCTTGAGTATTTTGTTTGCACTCATTGTCTGTTTGTTAATTTATGTATGCATCCAAGCATATTTTGCTCTAAAATAATTTGCGTTATCCTTCTTTTGAACATTACGTTTAATAATAATTTGTTCATAACAAAAATATTACATGTAAAAGTGTTTTTTACATACTGTTCTAAACCTCCATGCATATTGTTTTAAGTACACTGGTTTTCGCTCCAGTAATATAGATAACCCAAAATAGCTTGGTAGTCGAAAAATTCTGAGTTATACCTCAAATCCTTTAGGAATTCAAGAGTTGTTTCATAATTTTTAGTCAAGTTCTCATAATGTTCTCTTACAACTTCGTAATAATCCAATTTCTGCACACCAATAGCTTCGTTAAACAGCTTCCAGAGTATTCCCCCGTTCGATTACTTGCTCTATGGCGTCCAAACCGTACGTTGTCCAACTTTCTTCAAGTGTTAACATGAGACATTCATGTCTTCTCTGACTCGGGTAATCCACTTTACAGTCACAACTCTTTTCCCTACGTATTTTAGCTATTTCATCGGAAAAGGAATCACTAGCTCTGTATACTAATGCTGAATAAGCAATAAATCGTCCAAAAAATTTTACGTTTATTTCTTTATAAAACCGACTAAGGTTTACTGTTAAAGATTGGACTCTTGCTGCTTCGTATAGTTCATGATTCTTATTAAGGATAACATTAATATGATAGGATAAAGTCTCCTTGTCAATATCTACGTTATTTTGCTTCAACTCGTCGTAAAAGATATCCATACTGAACACCACCGCAAGTACTAGCAAATGACTACACAAAGTGAATAACATCGAATTTATCAATGATATTTATTGAAAAAAATTAGCATTACATCATAAAAACATGTAAAAGCAAGTTAGAAAATTCGGGTAAAATACTTAAATAATATTACAACTTCATATTTTCAAAAGTGTTTGTTAAATTGTCTTTGGATTTGTTTTCCAAATGTTCTTTAAAAGCTTTCATTCTGTCCCCACAACGACTCGTAAATCTCTCTCCTGTCCGTTTAATGGTATAATTATACGAAGGTGGCATGCTAAAGTTCACTTCGAAACATGGACAGATTGGAATGTCTTCTTCACTCGGAGTCCATTCAAAATAACTGCATGAGTTATCCTTTCAATTTGGACAGCAGAAAAACGTACGATCTTTATTAAGTCCTTCTTTTTTCACCTTCCGTATACAGCACGGAAAACCATGACGGCAGTTTGGTCTAACTGTCTCGGCGACATCGCGCCATTGCAAGAAAGAACAACGAGTTTCACGGTGAGAACAGACGCAAAAGGTCTTCCATAG